GCCCCTCGGGGCCCGGCCCGGCCCCCGCACGCCCGCCCCCCGCCTGCCGAACCGAGACAATGGCTGCTATTGTGCGCGCCTGCCCGGCCGCCCCAGCAGACAGCCCCCAACTGTAGCGCCCGGCGGCGCGCCCCCTCCTCGCCCCCCGGCCCGGGCCAGGTAGGACAAGTGAGCCACCCCCGGGGGCGGGGCGGGGCGGGACGAGCGTGGGCGGGGCTCCGCCCCAGCCCTCTCCCCACCCGAACTGGAGGGCGCTGGCCCAGGACACTGGGAAACAGAGACCCGGAGAGGCGGCCTCTCGGCTCTGAAAAATAGGGGGTTGGTCATCACCCAGTGAATACCTCCCACGTGCCAGGCACCCTAGGGGATGAATTCAGCGAACCCTCTAACACCCTTGTGGTGAATAGATGCTGTCATTTTCCCTGTCGTACAAGTGGGAGAACTAAGGCTTGAGGTCACGCGGCTAATCGCAGCCAGAAACCCAAAAAAACCATTGCTGTTGAGTTGGTTGCAGGCATAGTCACTGGCTTCTGGATAAAGCCCCTCCTCCTTCCCTGTTTGGGGAAGGGCAGCTGGGCTGGCGTTGAGCCTGGAGGGGTGGGTGCCTGTGTGTAGGGTGGGGGTGTAGCTGGCTGGGGCACACCCACTCTGAGAGCCATTGGGGTCTCCTTGGAGGAAGCAGGGATAAGACAGGGCCCTCTGGGAGCTGGGGGCTCCACCCCTGCCCACCCCACTGCAGCCTGGTTCAGGTAAGTGACCCGGGGTACATCAGCGTGTGGCCAAGAGCACCATGAGGGACACCCCTTATTCCCGGTGCAGTCCTGAAACTGCCCCTTTGCTCAGTTGTGGTCCGTGTCCAGCATAGGATCTGGGGGCAGGAGTCCAAGACACAACTCTCAAAAGCCCATCCGTCCTTCCTGATATCAGACAGAAAGGGATGGGAATCCCCAGCCTCCCCTGCGCCCCTCAGCTCACGCCTCTCCATGTGTGTCCTGGTGACTGGTTTTACAGACGGGGACACTGAAGGTCAGAGGGGAGGTGGCCACCCCAGGGTGCACACGTGGGTGGCAGGGCCAAGACTGGGAGCCGTGGGTGCTGACAGTTGGACAACGTGCCAACACCTGTCAAGCCCCCCTCACTGAGGCAGGTGCTGTTTCTTCCCCATTTTACAGCTTTGAAAACTGAAGCTCAGGGAAATTAAGGGACTTGTCCAAGGTCACGTGGCTTGTCTGTGGCAAAGCCAGGTTTTGTGCCCAGAAGCCGCTCCTGTGTCCATAGACATGAGGGGCGGGGCAGGCAAAGGGGCTTTCGGGGGCTGGTGCAGAGCCTAGGAGGGGCAGCATCTGGCGTGGGTAGGCGCTGGAGGGGCCAGCTGGGCTGGGGGGCTGCTGGGAAGCTTGGAGAGCTGAGGGCAGATATGCTGCCAAAGCAAACGGCCCCACAGTCGCGCATTCCTGGGAACAGGCTGCCGCTCCCTGCTTGGGCCAAAAGCTCCACCCTCCTCAGCACCCAGCAGCGGAGACCGGCGGGGGCTGGGGTAAGGTCTACTGGAGGCCCCCGGGCAGGCCTCATCCTCTCAGGGCCTGGCTTCCTGACCAGGCAGCAGAGCAGGGCTCCAAGGTGGCTCAGACCTCCGGGTCCGAGCCTGGCTGTGCTGCCTACTGCCCACGTGACCTGGGACAAGTCACCTCCCACTCTGAGCCTCATCATCCTCATCTGTAAAATGGGGTCAATGACAACAGTAACAGAACCTCCATTGGATTTTTGGGGAACATCAGTGAAATTCTGTACATCCACGCACGACTTAGTTTCCAGCAGTATGTAATATTCAGCACCTCGAACAGTGCCGGACACACAGTAGGTGCTTAAGGAAGCTTGTTGAATGAAGTGCCACCACTGCTGAGTCCCAGGTCTGGCCAGGTCCAGAGCAGTGAGGACGGCCGAGCAGGGGGGCTGGCCCTCCCTTCTAGACCCACAGACCCTCTAGTCTTGCTCTGAACCCAGAGACCGGGACTTCGCCTACCCTGCCTGCCCGTTGTGAGACCTCGGACAAGCCTGTGGCCCTC